GAGGAGGGATTAGCTCTGGATTTAGGTTGCAGTGCTCAGGAGCACACAGAAATTTTGCATTTTGAAAGAAGAGCAGTATTTTTATTTTAAATTATTTAATGTTATTGGATGTAATGGAGTAAATTGACCTATTTTGGGATAATGTAACTTTCAGATCATATATACAGATGAATTAATGGATAAACAAAAGAGGGAAAGGTGAGGAGAGGTGGGTGGTAGAGAATGTTTTTATTATTTTAACCCCTCACTGGCAGCTTAACTTCCTAGTTAAGAGTGAGCTAGCCATTGGTTCAAAGTAGCAGAATATTCTGATGAAAGAATAATAACACAAGCAAAAGCATCCCCCAAATTCAAGTTTACAGTGCCAAACTATTAGTTTTAACCACTTTTATGGTTTATGTCTTATAATATAGGCATCTTCCAGTCAATTACAATTTTGTGTAAGGTTTAAGGGACTTACACCTCCTGAAGAGACCTTTGGAAATAATTTTCCTTTACCTGGAGAGACCTTAATGAAATATACCACTGTAGAAGGGAGTGGTGAATTCTAGTACAGAAATTTCTTACCATTTTGGACAAATTCAAGGTCTGCTAGAGAATATAATTCAGTTTTCCTGTTAATGAAAACAGGTGAGAGTCATCAGCACTATGAATTACATTTTGCTGTACAAGTTAGAAGAGTTACTAATTAAGTCATTGATTTTTAATGTGCAAGCGTAAGTTTATAGGGCAACTGCTGTTTTATATATATATAATTTTATAGGGGATTTCTTTGATGCCATGTCTTAACATTATTTTGGCCATCATTCCTTAGCTGAAGTTGAATGAATAGTCCTGTTAATAGAGATATGCATCTCCTGGCCACAAACAGTTGAAGAAAATTGTCTTAATATTTCTGTTCATATCTTGCTTTTTGCTTCTAAAATATTCAGTGCTGTATTTACTCCACTACTACAATTTTTGGACAGTTTTGTTACCATGAATATTGCATAATTTTCATTTTCTTCAGGCTGCTGCAGTTGCAAGGCCTGTTTCTGGCAAAAAAAAATAATAAAAATTTTTTTAAAAGTACTTTTAGTTAAAAAGAAATTTAGTTTAGAAAAAAAAAAGTTTTAAATCAACTTGCATTTTTATTTTCAGTCTGAGAAGGGAATTGCATCCAATACCTCCTCCTGTATAAATTCTTAGGTATCTTCTCAAAACAATTTGCTTCATGGTTTTATAGAGTGAGTTTAAAAATATACTATTATATTTAAAAAAACAAACAGAAGAGTTATCTTGGCCTTACTCTGAATACTGGTATCAGCAGTGATTCAGTTTTAAGAATGTTGCACGTGGTATACCTCAAATGCTCAAGAAATCTTCTTTATAATACTTGTAAAAATGGGATAATCTGTACTATATTAAATATACAGTGTATATATAATTTGAAAATGGCTGAATTCAATACTTTTCTGTAGATCTACTTTTTGCAGTCAACATTAAAAGGAGCTGGAATTGGGAGGAAATCTCATTTTTAATGCTTGTATCTAAAGTAATTAGCAAGTATAATGCTATAGTTGCCATCATAGCAGGTTCCCTAACAGCAGATTACTTGGATGAATCAGAGCTACTTGAAGGTTTTTGGCATTATTGAGTTGTGAGGTATTTTACAAGTATCCTGCAACAGAATTGATTTGGAAAGCTTTTGAGTTGTGTGTAAAGAACTATCCTTTTACAATATGATTATATTATTTCTTGTTTCCCTTTGTTTTTGAGTTGTGTGTTGTTTGTTTTTTCTGATTTTCCCAAAGCTTAAATCATGCTTTACTACACAGCCTTTTTCTTACGGCTTTCTTTTCCCCTTATAATTGTCTGTCACCCATTTTTCTTGTTCTCTTCCAGTTTAAGTTATTTTTCCCAGGTACCAGGTGACTTCAGAGGTTCTTAATTGGCTCCCTAATATTTCTGCAGTAAAAGCTTAGCCCTCCTGTCTCGCTTCTCAGTTTTCATGCCCTGGTAATGGGTAGTTATGGGTGGCTTCTGGGCAGCTGCTACTCATTGGAAGAATGGGCAGCTATACAGTGAGGAAAAGAAGCTCTGAGAAGATAATGTGATCATTGCTATGTTCTGCAGAGGGTTTGAGTATCCAAGAGTGAAGCTCTCAGGTGGGCTAAGAATATAAACCAGTACTGGTTTGGCTATTCATGACTGCCTGTTGGTATTTCTTTCTCTGTCGTATTTTGGGCAAAACCCTCTGCAATAACTTCTTTATACTCACATAGTGAATAACTGTCTAGGATATGATGTTTGTGGGATAGGAGTGAATTTTTGTTACCATCTGAACTCCTGCAAATACAGGTTTTGGCAAATTATTTAAGTACATGTTTTTATAGTTAATACCTCAGGCATTTAATTGCATTGTTGATATATGCTGTTTGTTAACATTTGCAATTGAGTGTTTTCTATGATGCTAATTCCATGTTAACTACAGAGATGAATTTCCTCATGCTGAAAATTCAAAAGAATGTGATGAGTCGTGAATGTGTGACAGTAGGAATAGTAATAATTCTTGTAGGCATGTTGATAGATAAACAGGCAGCAGAGATAATAAGGCACATTTATGGATCTTGAGTCCGTAACTGAAATGTTTTTTTAAATATTAATATTTCAATACCAAAGTTTAAGCTAGAAAATGGCAAATAATTACATAATGTTTTTGTTAAGTTTGAAAGTTAGATTAGACTAATAAAAAAGAGTAGAAATTACATATTCTACACCTCTTTCTTGTTGTTCTTATTAGTAACTGAAAACAAGTAGCATTTCAGACTGAAAAAAATAGTGGTTTGTTGCTAGAAGGAAGGGTGTACTTTTTAAAAGTGTACTTTTTATGGTTTGTTGCTAGAAGGAAGTGTGTACTTTTTAAAAGTGTACTTTTAAAAAGAAGTATATGTTATAGCTTGCCAATGCTTCTATCATTTGCTAAAAATCCCCCAGATTAAGTTCTAGTAACCAATACACATTTATAGCTCTGTATTTAACATCCTTATCTAGCTGATGTTGCACTTGGCCCTGTCTTATATAGCATGTTTCACATTAAAAAAAATCCACCCACCAACAGTTGGACCCAAGGTACTTAACTAAGTTATGTGTAGTAATTAAAAATCTGCTACTTTCCCTTGCACTAAAGAGTATCTTGACTGTTTGTGGCATGTCCTGTTGTCACACAGGCAGATACGCACACGTGTCCACACACAGTCTGACTGACATAAACTGAGAGTGACAATGTTTTTCTAGTATGTTGGGCTAGGGATTGACATTAGGGATGGCATACTGCTATTCCTTCTCCTGCTTCATGTCAGGGCTGAATTGTAAAAGCAGCCTAATACCAACAAGCTTACAAACTGCTGATATTGTGACTAACTCATTGGTATCCATTTGTGGTTATGATTGATCCTAACTTTACTTGGAAGAGTCAGTTGACATTACTGTGAGAGGTCGGACAAAGTAGTTGCATCTTCTGTTATAAAGGTTGAACTTGGGTTCTAGAATCAGAAGAAAAGGTCCTTCTTTATGTTCATCAACAGCCCTTCCTATCTGAACGTTAAAACTGTCTTTGAGTTATGAAGCCTTACTTTTCCTCTCCACACTAAATCATATTATTTCAAAAACAGTGTGTAATTATCTTAGGTTAAGTTCGTTTTCTCGGTATGAGAAACAGAGTTATTGACATGAGAGCCTTTTGTCATGTATCTTAGGACAATTTCCCGTACCAGAGTATCTTACAAAACTATTGACTCTGTTCTGTCAAATATTGGTGTCTGCTTTACATGTGTGAAGATGGAAGACTCAGTTTGGAATCCCAAACATGATTGAACAAACAAGGGTTTTGTTAAACCATAAATATACTGTGAATATATTTTGATTTGATTAATATTTCAGTTCCAGGGTTACTTTTAGTAAGACTGATTCAGTTGCCTAGTATATGGAATTGTTTTCTAAGTTCACCTGAACTTATACTCTTAAATCACAAACGGAATGATTTTCAGAGTCAGGTAAATTTTTTTGCATATGCTTATTCTCAGCACATGTTCACTCAAGAATGGAATATGCATTAACATTCTTGCAGAAAATGGAGAAAAATGTTTTGGTATACGTGTCATTAGTTTCCATTTTGAACTGTGAATTTGTTTCTGTTTCATCCTTTTGATGTTAACAGCAATACTAAAATCCCTTGGCGTTATCTGTAATGTGCTTTGTTTTCCCCTGTTGATTTTTGCCACTTTGGGTACTATCTTTTGAATATTGTTTCATATCAGGCTGTGGTTCATGATCAGTAATGTCAGAACTCTTTCGCTGTTGGATGACTGAGCGTGGATTGAATCTGGATCAATTCGACATGTTATTTGTCTCTTCAGTATAAATGTTATATAGTTCTTGTTGATACTCCATTTTTATGCTGGTTTCAAAAGGATGGTCAATATTTGAACACATGATTTAATTTATCGAAAGAATGTACCAGCACCAAGTTAAGTCAAAACTATTTAAACAAAGATGAACTGGCAGATTGAGTTTATATACCATAATATAACACATCAGAACTTGGTTTACAACCTACAAAAGTATTTTTGAGTTGTAAAGCCAGATGAACTGTATTACTTGAACCACGGCCTTTAGGCAATTCTGTAATAAGACCTATTTGCAGTTAAAATGTAAATGTATTCCTTCTTATTAATGAAAAACACTATGTGAAGAGGGATTCATTTGGTCACAGAACTATTTGAGAACTTTAGACTGCTGCATCTGATAATTCAGCTTATGATATTTAACCTGCCATATTGAAATAACTGTTCCGTTTTATTTTGTAAGAACAGGGGAGTATAGTTAACTTTATTCCTTGTGCATTTTTGTAATCAGTGGAAAATTTTGAAACTTGAAAATTTTTATTTTCATTGAATAAATGGGAATGTTTTAAGTTCTAAGAATAATAGGTTGACCATGAAAAATATGTTTACTTTCAGAGAGAACAGGAAATGAGAATGGGTGATATGGGTCCTCGTGGAGCAATAAACATGGGAGGTAGGGATCTGAAGGATAAAGGATTCTGTAATGTAACATTTATTTTTCTTTGGGACTGTACATGTTACTCAAGCACTACTAATTAGTGACAGCTACTGGCAAAAAGGAGTAAACAGTATTAGGGAATTAAAAAAATTACATATTTTGCTTCCAAATAGCTGTTTTTTTCCCCAGTGCCTATATTTTATTGTTTGACTACCTGTGGAAGGAAAATATGATGTGCAAGTTAACAGAAACAGTAAAGGCAGGGAAGTGTGATGGTCTAGGAATAATCTGGTACAAAAAAGGAATTTTCTATTCAGAAAGCATTTGACATTCTCTTGGAGGGGCTACCTATTCAGAGAAGTTGAGAATGTAATTGCATGCAGTGAAATGATGTAGAGCTTAAAATCATAGAATGGTTTGGATAAGCAGCTGTTTAAAGTTCTTGTACCTGACAAAAGATTAATAATGTTGTTGGTGATCTACTAATTTACTGCAAGTCTATATTTGCAAGTATTCTCAGTTCACTTCTGTGAATTAAAATATTGTCACTGCTATAAACCTCGACTGTGAAGTCTAGAAAAGTACATTCTTAAGAATTAGTCACTGCTTCATATATGCAGACTGCAACAGTTTAGAATCCTACATAACCAGAAAATCTGCTTTTAAACAAGCAAACAAAACTTATGATACTTTTTAAAAACAAACTTACTGAACTGTAGTAATCTCTTGGAAGCTTTCTGATGTTCATTTAAATAAATTAACATTATTATTTTAAGAAAAGTTAATACTATTTTTGCATATTTTAAATTTGAAAATACAAGCAAAATTTAGTAAACATTGTCACTTGAGCTTTTGAGTAATGTGAATTTCTAGGCTGATGAATCTACTCTGTCCCGGTCTTAAAATACATTATTCACCATTTCCATATAAATTGAGACACATTTATAGCTGCAAAATAGAAATAGGCACTTGTTTTCAGTGTAGATATGAAGACCTTTAAAAAGAATTCCAAAAGAAGACATTATGAAGTTATTTGCAACTAATAAGCTGAAGTATACATTTTAACCTTATAGTTGTACTTCTGCATACTATTGCAGTCTACTTGAAAATTTCATTTAATTAGGAGGCTTTGTAAATATTGATGGTGTGAAAACTAGTAACGCCAGTTGTCCAGATCCTCAAGATACATGTTTTATGTACAGATTTTAAGTGTTTATTTATAGCAGTTAACAGTGCTTTTCTTGTCAGATTTTTGAATGCTTGAGAGTGATGTTCATTGTCTCACTTGCAAACTTTGTGCTATGATTTTGCTTTTAATCTTAATGCAAACGTTTTCAGAAGTAAAGATGTAGTTCCAAAAGAAGCTATAGTAACATCGAACTACTAGAAAAGGCAAAAAATATGCATAGCAAGTAGGTACATACAGTGTTTGTTTCTACAGTAGCTGGATTTTAGGTTAGCTCACTGTAGAGATTCTTTTCTTCCTCCAGCCCATTAACAACCCCACCAATACAACAAAAAACCCCACAACAACGGATCCCAAAAACATATAGTAGACTTTTAATTGCTGGTTTTAGCATCTTTTCTCAACATTTCTGTTGGAATTGTAACTTTATTTTTAACTAGCCTTTATCTGCCATTTGTGGCTTTTCATCATGTGGGACATTGGGGTGCTGGAGTATCTTCAGTAATGGTAATAATCTGCATGATAACGTTATTAGAAGGCAAGGTACCTTAGTGACAGATTGGGCTGACTTGTGCAGGACCACTCATTTTTACATTGTTTTCTGTGACAAACAAATTCTAAGAAAATCTCTGTGCCTCAGTGTAGTGCTTACCTGGACCTGTAATGCTAGGTGCAGCTTTTCAGTCTGGGGAAAGAAGACTTTTTTGAGAACTGTCTCTGCACTGATGAGGATGATTGACTATGATTTGTTGCTACCTCTGCCCAAACCTCGGCAGACATTAGGACACTGGGAGAGTGCTTTTTCAGCCCTCCAGATTGCATATATTTTTTTCAGTGTCTGCATTGTGGCATGAACAGTGGATGACTACTTTCCATTTGTTACTGGACCTGGTCCAGTGAATTACCTGCTAACATCAGTGTCCCACATAAGATAATCGGTAATCAAGTGCTTAGCTCTTAGGGTCTCCTAGGAGGACCTCTGAGACGTAGCTAAAATTACATAGTGGACTCTTGCTGAAACTGTGCAGGGCCTCTCTCTCACCTTTGCTGAACACTGTTCAGTTGTCCTCTCCTGTCAGAGCTGACTGCCTGAAACTGGCTTACTAATATAGAAGTTTGATACTCTAGGTCACTATGCGTCACTCTGGAAGCAATATCACAGAATCATACGGTTTGGGTTGGAAGGGTCCTTAAAGATCATGCAGTTCCAACCCCGCTGCATGGGCAGTGGCACCTTTCACTAGAACAGGTTGCTCAAAGCCCCATCCAACCTAGCCATGAACACTTCCAAGGAAATTTTACAACTTTCCTGGACAAACCTGTTTAACCCTTGCAGTGAAGAATGCCTTCGTAATGGCTAACCTAAATCTACTCTCTTCCAGTTTAAAGCCATTACCCCATGTCCTGTCACCACTGTATGCCCTTGTAAAAAGTCTCTTTCAGCTTTCCTTTAGGCCCCCTTCAGGTAGTGGAAGGATGCTTTAAGGTCTCCCCAGAGCCTTCTCCAGGGTGACCAACTCCAGCATTCCCAGTCTGTTTTCATAGGAGAGGTGCTCCAGCCCTCTCGTCACCTTCATGTGGGTGTGTTTGTATGATACAGATGTTCAGAACTTCGTTGCAGTTGAAGGCTAAGTGAACATCATCTGAGTGTGGCCATTGGCTAAGTTTAATAAGAAGGCTAAGCAAACCAGTAACAGATAATAGAGCATTTACTACTTTTGGTTAATGGCATTACTACTAGCACTACCATCATGATAGTCCTGAAGACTGTTTCTAGCCTCTGAAAAGAAATGTTTCTCCTCATATTGGCAGTTTAGACTTCTCCATTTCCTTCCATATTTAGCCAGCAAATGGATGACACTAAAAAAAAAAGAAACCGTTTCAGTGCATTTTCAACTATAATTCTCTTGAATTGTAGCACAGTCTTCTACCTGCTACATGAACTGATAATGCTTGTGGGTGGGTGAGAAGCATCCAACTTGTGTATACCTTTGTTTTGGCTCAGTGTCATATGGAGAGGCTTGGGAGTTTCTCATTACTAAGCTCAAATGAGTTCTGCTTTTCAAAATTAGAAGATTTTTCTGTGTTGCTTCTAATAATCTTGTAGCATTTTACATGTGCTACTGTGTTGCATGAGTTGTTTTGGATAAGCAACTTGTAGTTGGCATAATTAGTGTGATCAAGCCCAGCTCTGCAGTTTTAGCATCAGTATCTTGAGTGCTGTGATATTTGTACTCAGAGCAGGTAATAAAGATGCAGCTTTGCATACCTGCATGTAGTCATGGTACTTTATCTGTGCTAAATGGCCTGCTTACAGTGATGTACATTTATATATTAAATACTAAAGAAGCTACAATTCTGATGAGAGGTTGATTTTTGAAAGAAAGTTTTATTAGTCTAGTAACATCTCAGATTTCATTATATTCTTGGATGTTTTCATGACTTAAAACATAGGCTAGATTCCAAGTGCATGTTTCTTCCACTATCAAATTTTGGATGCACACTTCTGTCTGAAAAGGGCAGAATATCGTTGAGGGGCAGGGTGGAATGCATCACCACCAGTCTTAAAGTTGATATTTCATAATAGCAGATGTGATGTTTAAATCACTTCTTTCTTTCTTTTAGCAACATGAGAAAATGTTATTAAGGCAATTTTACCTGCATGTTGAGTATGCTAGTGGGTATTGACAGACTGATGTTTCCTAGCTTAGTATTACAGCTAAATGATCTCCTCTAAAGATGTCTTTAAGCTTTTCTTCTACCTCTTATTGTGAATCAGAATTTTGGAGGAGACTGTTCTGTAGCTTTCAGTTAAAACAAAACTTCCCTTAGCTTCCTGCTACTTCTACTATAATAAATTACATTGAATTCAAGATTTATTTATGCCATATTACAAATAATTTATTGTAAAATTGAGTGCCATCTTTTGTGTTGCTTTTAGACATTGAAATAATTTACTCTTAACACTGTATACAGTTAACGTAATACTGGTACAACAGTTCTTACAAATGTATACTTAATATCTTATGATCCCTGAAGAGCCAAGTTGCCTTACAGCTGCCAATTACTTCAAAATCACTTGAGATTTTGCTATTACGTGGTGTGCATAATGCATATATATGCTATGTGAACACTTTCTGCACAGAAACTGTACAGCTATATTTAGCTGTGTAGTTCAGGATTTTCAACTACACAAGGCAGATTATGTAATGCAAAATAATACAGATCAATGAAAATCCATTTAAAATCAAATGATTGAGATAAATGTACAGTCTCAAAGAATTATTATTTTTTTATTTCAAGTATTGGAAGTCTCGTACATTTGGCTTTTTAAATACTGTAAATTGCTTGTTTATTCTTGTAAAATTCAGATAGGACAGCTCTAAGTATAGATTGTTTTGCATAGATGCGTTTAGCCCAGCACCTGCTGGTAACCAAGGCCCTCCTCCAATGATGGGTATGAATATGAACAACAGAGGAACTATACCTGGCCCTGCAATGGGTCCTGGTCCTTCCATGGGACCAGAAGGAGCAGCAAATATGGGAACACCAATGATGCCAGATAATGGAACAGTGGTAACGTATCACAAATTTAATTACTTTGAATAGCTGTCATGTCTCATGGCCCATTTTTGTTACCAAAGATATTTTCACACCAAATAAGAATATGTTACATGTTTTGAATCTGTTAAAAAAATAATTGTTAAAACTTGTTAATGCAAATAATTTTCAACACAGAAGGGGTATCTTTATTTGATATTACTGTGAAGGTCCTACTTCCCTTAGGAATGGGGTGAGACTTGAAATTGAAGGTCGAATATACAGCACAACCTGTCATGAAAAACTCATTGACAGGAGGTATTCTGTAAATTCAGGCATTTGCTGTTTTGTTTTGGGTTTTTTTGGTAAAACTAAATTCTATGTATTGGTTTGTTTGGGCTTTTGATGAATAGTTAAATGTTGGAAGCTATGTAGTGTGAAGATATCTTTGTGTAAACGTTTTAATTTTTTTAAAGCAATAGTGTTTTTTGTATTTCCTTTCTAACAGTGTTGAAAGCATGAGATTATAACACTAAATTATGCCACTTAAAAATTCTGTGCCAACAGCTGCTGGGTATAACTGTTACATCAATATAGGGAAAATAATATTGCCCAGTAGCCAAGGGTAGTAAGGAATGTCTTGAATACATCCTGGAATTTTTTTATCAGTATCAGATAAGCCACTGGGATGCAGTTAAAGCAGTAGCTATTTTTGCTCTTTTCTCATAGCCAGTCACACTTCCAAGCTGTAATGTCTTATTAAGAGAAACAACTGTACAATTTTAAATCTGATTTTTACATATTTTTCAGTATTATTCTGTAAATAGATATTTGAAATGTTCTAGTTGTGGTGTGAGAGAGATATTCCATTATAGTCTTAATGGAAGTCAGAAGTATTTTGTAGCTGTATTTTATTACATATATGCCTTCTGAACAGTATCTGTGATTGAGCAATCTGTAGAATGAAGTTTGGACAAATCTTTTGTTCTTTAGAGGAAAATGAGTTTTTGATTGAGCACAATATACATGATGACTCTGGTCTTTACCAGTTAAAGAAGAGGATTTGATTTCACATTTTACAAGCTAGCTCATTCTATCACTTATGTAATTTCTCACAAAATGTAGGGATACTTTTCACAAAATACTGTTTTCAGAGATGCTTTTGCTGGAGACTAGTGTGTTACTGGTTACTCCTGGAACATTCTCTTTTGATTATATGGACACTTAAAAAGAGTTGTAAGGAAAAGAACATGACATCCTAAATCCAGGTATCTATCTCAAACTGTTGGTTTTCTACTAAAGTCATTCCAGGCATGGAAATGTAGAGAATATACTGACACTTTGAAATGCATGTTTAAAAAAATTATGTGTATTTTTCTTCTATTTTATTCTACATGCTACTGAAGGACAAATTAGATGCTCTTTTTTTGTTTCTTTTCTGTTTTGGACCGTGAAGATTTTTAATGTGGGGGAACAGGCCCCTTACTGTATTTTTGCTGCTGTTGGAAAGATGCTTTAAAGATTCTTTGAGTGCTCTCTGCTAAAACACTGTAAGAGCTAATTTCAGTTTCCACTGAGAGAATTGGACAATATGTTTTATAGATCAGAAGTGCAGGTTTTGTTTTCTTTAAATTGGATGATTTTTTAAAGTATTTTTGGGGACAGTTGGAACAATCTTGTTTTTGTTTTACTGCAGTCTTTTCAAACATCTTTGAACATAAGATTCTAAAAATAGCTTTAACCCATAAACCTAGTGTATGTTATACTGAGTTACTGTTTTAAATGTCATTATGTGGGATTCTATTTTTAAACACTTGAATAAATACTGAACTATTAAGTGCTCAGATGCATGTTTTAGGTTTTAATCGCTATAGCCAAATCTGTGTAAACACATATATCTTTATTAATATTGATCACAGAAAATAAATATGGATCATTAACTGGATTATCATTTTACATTGATATTTCAGGTTAAGCTTTATATAGATATATGTAGGGTTTTTTTAAACTGGCCATAGTCCAGTTGTGCATTTTAACACTAGTTGTGTCAGTTTATCTGGACTGGATTTTAACTACAGACTTCTGAAGTGCCATGCAAAAGGCTGATGCCGGGTAGTATGGCCTGAAGTACACTTTATACACAGATATGTGGGTATATAAGTTTATTTTCCTATTAAAAAAATAAACTTGCAGTCTCTAGAAATACAAAAGCTATTTTTTTCCCCTAGATTGACAATACTTGTGTGTCTAAAGGAGAAGCATTGTAGTAGGTATGTAAGGCAGAATAGGCCTCAGGTATAAAATTATTTGCTGTTACTTTGTTACATAGAGAATATGTATTGCTTCAGATGTGTTTGGAAGGATGAAGTTAGATTCCGCACGAGAGTTGGTCTTAATACTTAAGTTTTAAATTTTTAATTTGCAAAGTTGGAGCGTAACATTAGCACTCTTTAATTTCCAGCTCTTTTTCCATAATAACTAATTGAATTGCTCCTTTCTTCCCTCTATGTGTGATCCTGATTCTGCTGGACTATCTGCTGAACTCCATGACAACTTCACTTGTGGTTTTTGTTGTAACTCACATTTGGCATATTCCAAATGGACTTGTATTAGCATAATGAGAGATTCCCTCAAGGAGGTCCATCACAGATGGGTTCACCTCTGGTTAGTAGAACGGGCTCTGAAACTCCTCAGCCGCCAATGAGTGGTGTAGGTGCCGTGAGTGGTGGACCTGGTGGCTTTGGTAGAGGAAACCCAGGGGGCAACTTTGAAGGACCTAACAAGCGTCGCAGATACTAAAACTTATTTCATTCCTTACTGTTTAGAAATTACAGTAAAAATATACAGTGATATGCCTTTATAATTTTAGCTGTTATCTGGAAACGGTTTTATTGTTATTGTAGTCTTTAAAACAGTTTCTTTTGTAAAACTTTTTTTTTGTATTCAGTCGTAGGCTTTGTAGTATAGAGGAGAAATTATGCAGATCATTATGTAAGGCAATGTGTTTGTGACTCTAGCAAAATACCATGTGTGACTATGCTGTAAAACATGCAGTTATCTGATTAAAATAAAATACAAAAATAACCAGAAAGAATTTTGGGAATGTTATTACTAATAACGGGTGAGAACAATGTTGCGCTTAATTTCAAGGGCATCATTTTCATTCTTACGTAGTTTTTTCTGTGTGTCTGTGATGAATCTGTTTAGCTAATCTGCATGTTGCAGTACATACTGTGAATTATTTATATCAAAACTGCTTTTGTTTGTTCTTTTGAAGAGCATAAATTGTCCTGATACCTTAGTCTCCCTTTGCAAACTTAGTCATGATAGGCTTATCAACAGAGTATTATTATCTGTTACTCAAATTATTGGAAAATTTAACTTGGGGCATAGAGGGGTGGGGAACTTCAGAAAAGGAAATCTGTACTGTGCATTATTCATAACAATATGAATGAATTTACCTAAAACGTGCTTCTTCAGGAAGAAAGTTGTTGTGACATCCATGCATTCTGCTGATCGCTAAACTATCTTGCCTCTGCAAGAAAGGAGACATGGGGCAAGCTGGTTTAAAGCCTTCTACTGTGTAATGCATCATTGTAAGCATGCATTTCCCCCAGTGGTTGGTTTGAATAGAACCAAGTTTGTTATCCATTATTAACTGTTTCATAAGCAGGCAAACACGTTTTCCAGTTAAACTCATTGTTCACTTCTAGTAGACTAATATGTATTTAGGAGAGATTGCACATGAGTATTCTTGATAATTGTTTTACACAGTTATGAATTTGAAAAATACCTATTTTCAGCAAAATTCAGGCTAGATTTGCTGATGGAGTCTTGAAATAAAACTGGTGATAATGCTATTAGGAAGCTTAATATTCTGTAAGCTTAAGATTCTGTAATATGATTCAGATTTTGTCGGTCATGGAAGGTGATGGAAAAGGCCTATTGGTTCTATTCCTGTATGGCAAGAAAATAGATATTTTTGGTTAATATTGCTTTTTTCCTGTGCAAAATAGTTGTAAAATATTAGTGTTCTTTTTTTTATCAATTCACTCTCGTTTTCAGAAATAGAAATTACTAAAATTTCTGTGCATGAATAGTGATACTAAATGAACTAAAACCAGGTTTGTGATAACATGGTCCCCTAATTAAATCAGAATGCTGTGTATGTGGCTGAAAGCATGGAGTGCAAGAAGCAGAGAGCCCATGCGTGTGTTACCTAATATAGCAGTGATGGTCTTGGTGAATTGAATTGTGAGCAAATGGTAACAGGAGAATTGTGGCATTGTTGGCATTCTGGAAGTACGCCGTTATTCAAATTGCCAATATATATGGCTTTAAGATATTATTTTCTTACAATTCAGGAGTTATCACATGCGTACCTCCTTTAACTGTTGAGCATTTTCCTTTAGATTTGTCTTTAATGTTGCCATTTTTTGCTCGAGATACATGCCACACTTAATGGTTTGTAACGCAATAACAAGTTAGGTTTAAAGTCTGTAGTTCTCTTTCCCCTGCTTGATCCATGCATCAAGTTACAGCACTCATTCTTAAAAAAAAAAAACACACCTTGCAGCTTGTTTGGGATAGCACGTTATTCATAAAACTCAACATTTGGGAAAATTGCTCAGTTTTCACTAGGAGTAAACTAGTTTGTGCATATAGCAACTACTGAAATTCTCTGCTTTGGTCCACTGCATTCAGTTGAAAATGCAGTTTACATCAGTGTCTAGTAAGGTGATTAGGTGACTTCTATCTCATCTTTTCTGCCCTTGTACATGGCGTTTTTTATGGTGATTGGTAAAGTACTGGTGTGAGCTGGTATTTCTAAACTGTAAGGCCAAAGGGGAGCATGTTCTAATACAGCTTGAATTGGATTCAAGAGGTATGTTCAGTTTTTCAAAGGACAAGGCTGTATCATTCAGGCCCGCTGGCTAACTTCTGTGTATTTCTTTAGGTATATAGACCATCACCCTGTTGTAGTGCCTGAGTATGTTTCACAAAAGTACTTTAAACATACAAAGTCTGCAATAAGTCATTTATTCTTCTCTTGCCAGCCTCATGCTATTTTAAGTGCTTTTGTTACACTGTGTTTTTGCTGCCAAGCAGCATTATGTATGTATTTGAAAATTACTGTGGATTTTAATTGTTATTAGTGATTATTATTCCACAGTTTTGAACTACTCTTTCTGTAAAACTCTTGACTCAGAGGGCTCTGCTGCATGGCAGCAGTGGGTTTGTCTGCTATCCTTATTGCAGAAAGTAACATAATCTCTTCTTAAATATTTATGAACCAAGCCTTTAATACTTAAATACTGAAATGTTGAATTTGGCCACGCTTTGGCCACAAAGATTTAATGAAGAATTTTTGTAGCTGATGACAGGCTGTCAAATTCAACTCTTCATAACTTTAGTCTTAGGACTGTATGCATCTCAGTGGTAAAGGCAGTGATTTTCATTTTGCCAAATGAGGTAGTGACTGACTCTAGCTAAACAATCAGCACATAATTTTGTTAGGAAAGGTATAATCCCAGTTTAGTTCCTAAAAATTGCATATAGAGGCACGATTATTGATAAAAAGTATTGCACATGTGCTGAAAGTAATTGGTCTTTCTTGTTCCTTATCTGGCTGATCAGTTTGTATTTTTTTGTGTACACATGTAGTTAAGTTTTTAATGGTCTTTGTTCTGTTAGACTAGAAAGCAAAGTGAAGTCCTGACTCTCTCTGTTATGAGAGATATAAGCTTGGAAAGAATATAAAGTTAACAACTACAGTGCACTTATTTATTGGTTGTACTGAGTTTTTAATTAGTCCTGAAATGTCAGTCTAAACTGCTTAGTTTTGATATGAGATACAATTTCAATAGTTAAAGATAACAAAGCTTTTCTATTATATTTAAGTAAAAAAAAAATAAATCATACAACTAGAAGCCAATTTGTCTAACTGCATTTGCATTTGTCACCTCAGTCATTTGAAGGGGAGATGTTTGGCACTGGAAAAAATGAAATTAATTTTGGTTGTGAGTTAATTTCTTTGTAGTTCTGTCCAGCATGCTCATTAGATAAAGCACTAGATAAAGCTTGGCAAGCTTGGTGCCGATTGAGATTCAGTTAACTGTGTTTCTTTCCTTAGTAAATACTTAAAAATTGCTATGGATTTCCAAGTAAGAAAATTCCTCACCTTAAGTTGCTTTATCATTGTCCACATCTGTTTTATCCAATTGGACATAAATGTACAATGAACTGGAGACTCTTATTAGAACAAAAGGTTTACATAGATGGTAAGAAGACAGTATGAACTAAATGTTACATTAATTTAAACTGTAATCCAACAGAATTTTATCTTTATATGTATGCATCCTTTGAGGAGCATTCTAATCTAAAGTGTGCTGTCATATTTTAAAATGTTATACCAAGCTATTTTTCCCCTTCTCCATCTTTGATTTTGGATTTTTTAACTTGAAAAATAAATAAATCTGTAATTACAAATTCTTTTGAAATATACTAAATACAAATGCATTGACTTTTGTGAAGTACAGATTGTTAAACAGTCACAACTTGCCTCAAAATTACTTGGCTCAGAAATTACAAAATACTTGATCTAAAGGAAGATTCTCAAGTGAAAAACAAAACCCTGTGGGGTTTTTGAAGGGGAAGGATATGCTTTGAGCTGAGATGTTCAGCAAATGAGTGGTGTGCTTTCATGGCATGAAGCTCATTTAACTTAAATGTGTTGTGGAAACTGATTTCTTTGTATACTTAATACATAATTTTTTGTATAATAAGTTGGATTGTAGTTCTTAGTGAAGACAAGTTAAAGTAAACTGTAATTGAACTACTAAAATGGTAGGGAGGGCTGGGTAGCAACTAATGGGGTCAGTTAATATTAAACTGCAATATAAATGGATTCTCAGTCCCATCCCTGAGACTTGAAGTTGTGGTATATCATAGTTTTACAGAATGCATCCAGCATCTCTTGTTATCTTGTGCTTGGGGCCAAGACTGGGGAACTTGGGAGAGCACGCATTTAAAATGGAATTTGTCTTCTCAAGAGTCCTGAATTTATTAATTTGGACACTGTGCTATCATAAAATGCAGAACCATGTTGGGATTTGATGCTTTTCTTGGGCTGTTAGCTCACTCCTAGCATGAGGGAGTATCTGTCCAACTTTCTCTGATTCTTAAATAGTGAAGAGAGAGGTAGTGTGGCCTATGGAAAATACAGAGGCTGGACATTACTCCTTTAGATTATTGGCTGTTCAGTGGTAGTTTAGTGGCAAATGGTCCTCTGCATTATCCAAGAAGCTTTTGTTTTCTTAAGAATCCATTCAATGAAATGTGAGAACTTGTCAATAGAAGGGGTTGATTGAAAGCTTGCAGGTAAAATCTTTTTCCATTGGTTTGGCTTTTTGTTGTCTTTTGGGATATACTGTAAAAATCTACTTCGTCTCAGTAGATGGTCTCACAAATCTTGTGTTCTGCTGTTATGAAGAATGTTGAATTTTCATGAAGACAATACTTTTAATGTTTTTACATGCATGGAAACAAGCCCTCAGTGTGTTTAAGTTAGTTTTCAGACATTTAATAGGTCTTTTCCATCTTGAACTTCCTTGAGCGACTATGAAAAGTAATATAATTTAAATGTGAAGGTAGGCGTATTAATGACTTCAGCCTGACTTCTGAAAGCAGTAAGAGATGGTGTTTCCTCAGAAAAGCAGATTAGAACAGCAACCAGTTTTTCCCAATTGAAGGAACTATTCCGAAAATTTTAAAGTTCAGAGATAAGCATAATATACTTTACAGGTAAAGCCATTTTAAAAAACTGCTTTCATATGATGATTGTTTCATACCCAAAAAATATTAAAAGAAAAAAATACCTGTGTAGATGTGGGTAAAAGCTTAACTGGTTTTTATGTAGTCACTCAAATGGAGGACAAAATGCTCATAATAAGAGGTATGAGATTCAAAGGGAACTTAGCTATGTTACTGCATCCAAGTGTTGATACGGTTTTCCCATTTGTTTTGGTAAATGGTTTGTCTAGAGTGGCTGTTGTTCCTAGCTTTAGTAGTGTGCTTTTATATCTTAATTTCT